AAATTTTGTTAGTCTCTTTTTATCTTAACCTCTCTTTATCTGAACATTACCTTTAATAAAATACTAAGTTAAAGATATTGTCGAGAAGTAAGAAAAAGACGCACTGCGACCTTAGTTGGAGATAGAACTGACCAAAATGTACGCATACATATTAAAAACTAATATACGTAACTGTCAAGAGAGTCAAAACTTCTCACGATTCTAGAATGTACGTTCTTTTATATTTAATTTTATTATTTGATTGAGACTAAATTAAAGCTAGAAAGCTTAAGTAAAGCTAAAAAATAAATGATAAAAAATTTTTTAAGCAATTTGTGTATTACCAATATCTTTGTTAGTTGAAAATCTATTTAATCGTTTTACTCCTTTGATGTGTTACTATTAGAATTTTCAAGTACATTCAAGAATTATGCTAAACGTTTTATTATTTTTCAAAAAAGATTTAATGTGTAATGTGTAAAATTAAATTTCACAGAAAGATACAAACTGTAAAAAAAATTTTCTTCAATTTATACGTTGCAGAACAATTATTTCCTTGTTATATAATTAATAATTTGTGATAAAAAAAGTGTGGATCTATTAAATTTGTTTCTAGCACATTTTAGGCATCACGATTGTAAAAAAACAAAAATCTTTTAAAAAATATATTGAAGGATTTTAAAAAATTACTTATATATTTGACCGGATACTTATGTCGACACGCGTTTTAAGACACTGAAACGGCATAGCAACGAGTGAGGATATAAATTATGGTCCCATCTTTGTAGAGCCGGGACAGTTGACGATGAGCAGCGGAGTTAGACAGCAAAGGTCGGGCGTTTAAGGCGTTGCAGTTTCGTTGCCCATAAGCAGCAAGCAGAAATTCAGGCTAACGAAGGGAAAACACTCTCAGCTTTCCTTAAAAACAAGGTAGTGTATTAATCAATTCAATCCTAATTAGCGTCTGGAAGCATTATAAATAGCTGAGTAATTCCAGGTAACTCTTGATAATAGTCATCTAAACTTTTTTTGCAGTTTCATATCTTATTATGGATTGAATTACGCTTTGAGGACAAAAAAAATCTTAAGGTATGAATAATATATTATTATCATATGTGTACACAACGAAAAAAGTTGGTGTTAACACTGAAGTACATTTACATTGGAGCAAAAGGAAAATGGCTCCAAAAGAAAAAATGATAAATACTTCTCACCGCTCATAATTCTTCTTAAAAAAATAGGTTAAGCTGAGTAACATATTAGAATAAGAGTTTTCATCAGTTTACATGTGATACAAAACACATGCTGAAACAGAAAAAGGGTTATTCTCTTACTTGGTCACAAATGAGATAAATTTTGCTTAATATGTGCGTAACAGCACCATTATTTTACTCCCTTAAAGCAAAGCTGTTCTTAGGAGAAATTTAAAGTTATTTGTATNAAGATAAAATATCTTAAAGTAAGAATAACATATTAATAACATATGTGTACACAACGAAAAAAGTTAGTGTTAACACTAAAGTACATTTACATCGGAACAAAAGGAAAATGGCTCCGTAAGAAAAAATGATAAATACTTCTTACTGCTCATAATTCTTCTTGAAAAAATAGGTTAAGCTAAGGATTATATTTGAATGAGAGTTATTATAAGTTTACATGTGATACGAAACACATGCTAAAACAGGAAACGGGTTATTCTTGCTTGAAATGTGTGTAAACGCAACATTATTTTACGCCCTTAAAGCAAAGCTGTTGGTAGGAAAAATTTATAGTTATTTGTATATTGTTTGTACCTGTTTCAGTTTGACATGCGTTTTGTCTTTTTATCTGTTCTTTTAATCGGATAGAGTCTATGTATAGGAGTAGGCCATTATTCGATTGCTCGCGTTTGCATATTTAGGTAAAATTTTTTTCGTTTAACCAAACTTATTTTCGTCACGACGTCAACTCGATGGTTTGATTATAGCTCTAGGCTGCTCTTTTTCCACCAACGAAACAAAAAATCGAACTTTGATGAGTGAGCATTTTGGGTTTCACTCAGAAAATAATTAATAACACGGACAAGTCATTCCGAAAATAGGCCATCCATATTTGTGCCTACAGTAACTTTGGTTTTCGAAAGCATTGATTTTCACCCTTAAAATAAAATTCACAACATCAATTGTCTTATCATACATTTCTGAGTTTGTAATGAATACTTTAAATATACATGTCATCTTTTTCAAAATCTTATTAAAATTTGTCATACAACGGGGATCTTACAATGATAAACCCAATTAGCCAACGGAAAACAAAGAGATACCATGAACATGCTCTTGTTCATCGCATTTCGTCGTTTTCAACGTAAAAAAATATACAGTATAATTCTTCAACCCCCCCCCCTCGCCCTTGTGTATTTATAGGCAATGTTTTGATCAGAAAACGTTAATTTCAATGTTGAAAAAAATTTAGTATGTCATTTTCTTACTTTACTTAAATACAAGAGCTTAATGAAATACATGAACAATTTTAAATTGGAATAAATTATCCAGTAAACTCTAATAGTTTGTTTATTCATTTAAAAAAACTAATTTTAACTTGTACGATTTTTGATTTTAATAATTCAAAAGTTTATTCTAAAACTATATTCTAGCTATTATATTTCAATTGTAGTGTTACGTATTAA